TAAAGTCGATTGTTACGATAGATCGTGCTTTAATGAATAGTTCATGGCTGATAGAAAAGAGAACGATATTAACTTTTGATTTTTAAATATGCTATTATTATTTAAATATAATTAGATGATTACCTTGGATCTTACTTAAATTATGTAAATTAGAATTAGGTATAATTATGAAGCATAAGTATTTTACAATATCATAATATTTTCACGAGAATTTTATAATATTATTTTTTTATGTCATTAATATTTTGAGTTATTCTATTATAGGTATAAATTCTCCAAATTCATACCTTTCCGTAGTAGCCAATGATATAATTTTGATCTCATGTTGTCCGCTTATAACAGAACTATTTTTGCAGTAATAATTAAGCATAAGTCCTCTAAATTTATACTTTTACTTTATAGCTAATGGCACAACTTCAATCTCAAATTATCGGCTATAAATGCTTGCAGCTATATTATTTTTATAAAATAATGAAGCGTGAATTCACAGGACTTCCTTTATAGCTAGTGACATAACTTTGATCTTATACTATCCTTGTTACAACTGCTTGCAGCTATATTAAATTTGTATAAATAGTTAAGCTTAAATCATCCAAATTAAGATATTTACTTTATAGCTAATGAGCTTACTTTGATCTCATATTATTAATCGCTAGTAACTATACTATTTTTGTAAAAATTGTAGCATATACTTATAAATATAGTACAGTCTATTCTTAGCTAAAGTTATTTTTCACTGCACTATAGCATAACTCACTCACTTTAATTATCTTGCTCAATTAAAATAAAAAGCATCAGACTCAAAATCGTTTTGTTCAGTAATATCATTATAAACTTTCTGCATGCCTTAAATTGGATACGTTGATCGAGATGTTTGAATTATTCTGATGTTTAAGTTCATACGATGTAAACGAATCGGAAGCACGTACAGTTTAGGGAAAATCTTAATTGCTGTAGTAATAACAACTATATATAACCTTTTGATATCTCCAATATTTTATATTGTCAAATATTTAAAATTTTAGGCTGTACGGCTAAATTAAAAAGTATTACAGAAATTTAGAAAAATTAAGAAAAATTAATCTAACGAAATTTATTTCATTTTTAGTATCATAATAAGGATTAATACTAGCATAAATGTCGATCATGTTAATACAGCACAATATTATGCTTCCATAAGAATGAGTAGATATGCATGGATGTATGTAATAAAACAATCTTAGTTCCATAAAGATTTGACGGAATAGAGTATTCTTTAGCAAACGTATAACGTATAACCATTAAAACGATCGATTGCAAAGCAACTCAGTTATTTCGTCAGTTTAAAAGATCTTAGCATCTTCGATAACAGATATTCTTTAGATTATATATTTTATACTACATTATGAATTTAATCTCAATAAATAATTTAATTCGCCTAGAGAATGGTAACTAAACCAATTAAAAGTATTTAAAGATGATAAATATCGTTCAAGAAGAAAATACTACATACAGGTAAATTATCTCAATACGATACGGATACCTGAATGCTAGTAATGCACGAATTGATGATATCAAGTGCTTAATTGGACCTAATTGAACGCAAGTTTGGTAACGTAAATATTACTCGCTAGTGCGGTAATCAATTGATAATAAAAGAATCGCTTCGAAAATTATATTATTTCTCAGCTTCGATTTGTGATGCAATAAGTTTGAAACCTGGTTCGTCAAGCACTGATTTATATCGAAGTGTTGAAGGATGTGAAGGCCCGAAAACCTATTCAAGTAATAAATACACAATTATATATAGTTATCACTACTCGCAATACGGCATTATAGCTATAAATGGAAGTATTTTCATATAAACATTCAAGAATATATTAAAAATTTTACTCAAAAGTTATTAAGCCACGGTTTAACAAAGTATACCTCTGCTTTGATATCATACGCTCTCTTAAAGTACTTGTAGGCCTGCCGTTTATCACGAGATTCCAAGCTAATAGCCATATTAAAGATTATTCTTGCTGTCAGTTTATGATATTCTCCATAGGCTTGCAAACATAGATCTAGAGCTTCGTTGAATATCTAATGTATAAAATAAATTTACTTAGATAAGACAGGAACAATTTTTATTATTACTTTAAAATTAAGGTAACAATTTGTGACTGTTAAAAGTTATATTTAATTTTAAGTATCTACTATAATCTAAATCTGCTGCACTGAACACTACATAATTATATCAATTTTAATCGACAAGTTCCGCTGTACTTGTTGGTTTAACATAATTTACGGTAAATGTCTACATAGAAGAAAACAGGTGTAACGATATGACATACACATATCAATTTATAATACAAAATATTATTAAGCAATACTAGAAAATCATAGTAAGTGTTAAAGTATGCAAAATCGCCGTTGTATAGCATCGGTAACAAGAAGTTGAAATTTACAAAATCTTCTATATCATCGAAAAGTGTTCATCTTAAAATACCTTCATTTGCTTATTATATTCACGATCGAAAAGATACGTCGCTATATTTTGTAGAGTTTCAGCTTTATGCCCAACATCTTTTAACTATAATGAATACAGTTGTCAAAACGTCAAGAATAATATATTACGCTATAAATTCGGTATTAGTAGATATTAACGTTTTAGCAATCAAAATTTTTTAAAGAATATTATTAAAATGCAGCTAATTACCTCATCGAAGATTTGCACACAATTATTACAGTGATCTGAGCATCTCGATAAAGCATCTTTAACGGTTAAATCTTGGTAAGGTCTACCGGTTCTCGCAAATGCACCATAATGAAAAGATACACGAAGTTCTAGCAATCCTAAATGATACTGAAAATAATATATTATGATGCCGTTAGTAGTACTGAACAATCTATACGCGGTATATCATCGTTAACATAATTAGGCAAAATCTAATTTATATTCTATATGAGTGTTAGGCATTAATTAGCTCACTTTATTATCATCGCCGGCCAAGTTTTTACGGTAGGAAATTGCCTTTAATCCGGTTTGGACAATATCGTAGTCTTTTTTGGTATCTTCTGCACTAATGAAATCCGATAGTTTGCTAGCCTTTAACGAAATATGTAATTGCTTATTAAATGATCTAATTAAACAACTTTTCTCTATTGATGTAATAAGACTATAGTCGTCGAATGAAGTTATTAAATTATGTTTTATTCCAAACTTTTACATACGTCACTTTTGATATCGGTTAAGAGCTCATAAAAACTGGCCAATTTTTCTCTTCTTGCACCAAGTTTTTCGTTTTCTATTTTAATAGCTTCAGTTACCAGTTGTTCAGCCTCATTAAATTGCCCAGCACAGCAACTTTTAATAAAATGAGAATTAATTTAAAGTATTCCATGGAATCATGAGAATGATTTCACCATTGTAACCTTTGTCATTAACTTATATTGCTATTAATTTGAAGACATACAAGAAATGAGCCACTTTCCACTTCTTATCCGCCATTTCCTCATCCGATGCACTATTGCTAAGTTGTTCTAATGATTGTATATACAACGTTGCAGCAGCTGCATAACCTCCAGCCTAGGATAAATTCGATTAATATATTTTAGAAAGGATTATTAGGATATCAATAAGCGCCATTGCTTACTTTTCGCCAAGATCTCAAGAGTTCGACGTTGTGTTCGTCAGCAGAAAGTTTTTCGAATACAGGCCATTCTAGCAAGCATCTGGCTAAGCGACTGTGGTCCAATAGTTTTTCTAAATGATACGGAAGTTCCTAAGTGATTCAAGACAATTTAAATTATCATAATTTTAATTTTAATGGTTTTAAAACATGATACTGTTTTGTATTCGCATAACTTTATGGAACTATTTAAATATCATAGTAGCACCCAACTTATTGCATCCAACTCCTCTGATTTTATAAAGAGTACATGTGTTAAATACCGTATGCTATCTCTAAATAAATATTGATGTAAATAATATCATGCTAGGCTGTAGTACTGTATTTAAATGCAATGGTGGGACTATATATTTAATATTGACGGGTAGGTATAGATATATGTCCAATAAGTTATCACATGGCTACATACTTATACATTAATTACATGTATGTAGATTTTGATAACACTATTCATTGCAAATTATTGATAGAAAGAAGATAAGAAAATTCTTAACGCACTGTTAATTATACCTATATTAATAAATAGCCTTGCAACTTGAATATTTTCAAATTGTTGATTTCATTCATGTAACCAATTAATTGGCTTACCTCAGCTTTGCGATCATGATTATCTACTTGTTCAAAATATTCTGCTAATTTTCCATGCCACCACGTGTATAAGAATGTTCGATAATCTTCTGAATCTTTCTTAAAGTACCTTTTAAACGATATTTGTTATAAGACATAAAATTAAACAACAATGTAAAGACTACTGTAACAACTCCAGGATCAAAATAGAAATTAGCATCATACAATCTGAGGATGCAATTCAAGAAACTAAAAGCACTCTTATAACGAATAAAATTAATTTGATTTCTAACTTTTTTCTGACAGCTTTACTCATTGCTCGATGATAGAAATCCAATCTGCCTTCGCCACTATCACCGCAAGGTCGCAGGAAAGGTTTTAACGCACGATAAACCACTGCCCATTTCGCTGCTGGCAAAGGTGGAGATCTTTTCTTTTTGGAAATCCTGCTATCCTTATCATCATCTATATCATTTATAATAGAATACCGAAAGTTCAATTTTAAAGGTTTAATTCCATATTTCGTATAGATGCCATTTTAGGCATGGATATCGTATACCTGCATCATTATCATCCGGTTGTTCTTCGTCTTGTACGTTATTTTTGCGGTAAGTTTCCTCCACCGTAACATGAAGCTTTTTAGATAAATCATTAGCTAAACTTTCGGTTGCTTCAGAAGTTTTAGGCGATGATTCACTATTTTTTTTCATAAATTCTTCTAAAGACGGCGGCTTCAGCAATTCATCATCCCCAAGCAGTTCAAGTAGTTCTCGCTCTAACAGTCCATGACGGGAACATTCAAGAAAGCAAAGTGTTGCAACCATTAAGTGACCACCACTTTCTTCTTCGAAACGCGTTAACACTTGCTCTAGTAGTCTATGAAAAATGTTTAGAAATCAGAATTTAGGTTGATATCAAATAAAATAATTAGTTAAGTTTAGGGTTAGAGTTAAAAAATTGATTTATTGTGGGTGAAGTTTTAAAATTTCATTAATTTGGGTTCACCATATTAATAAGTATTCAAAATAAAATTAAGATGGATTATTTCTGATTAGATGGCTATGCTTGTAAAGAATTAGAGGAAACTTACTCTAGTAGCCCATCAGCTAATCCTTTTATCATCTCAGTTACTTTACTAAATAAACCAAAGACTCTTAATTCTTCACAAGCTATCGATAACCAAAGAGGATTCGCAGAAGCTTCTTTCGATAGTAGCAAGTCCATTTGTGTAGGGTCTAATCTCTTATTGAATTTCGTTAAAACTTGATCGACAATTTCCTATATGTACATAGTCAGTTCCAAAAGGAACATTAGCTCTACAGCAATATCTTCATTTCATTTAAAAATCGTTTATTTCATTGAATGGTTAGGTCATAGCAGCTATAAATTGCAATTGTAATAAGAAAGGCCCCTGACATACCCGTCTACTTGATAAATCTAATGGGCCACATAAAATATCTTTAGGACGATTGGTTCGACTAGACAGGCTGCGATGGCAAGGCGTATCGTTGATGACAGAGCATATAATTCGCACATTAGGCGATAAAGCAAGAGGTAACCAGCTAACTTGTTCAGCATCCTTACTTTTATCGAGCTGGTGATGTGATAGTTTAAATGGGCAATGGCGTTATTACTGTATGATCATGCATTCAGTGCAGCTTATGAAATACCAATATATCAAACGCTATACTCTAACTTACTTGGTTTAGGGCATCGAAAAATAAAATTGTTGGTTCCAGGTTAGGATTTCCTAAGGTAGTGTTTGATAGTCTAACAAGTGACTCTGTATCCGCCGGCATTTCTCCCTTTACGTGCAAAGTACGAAGGGTATATTGTATTGGTAAACTCATTAAATTCGAAAATTTTTTATTTATCTTGTTCGCCTAATCTAATCATCTTACGAGTATTGCAGAATTTAGTTAAATAAAAAAACTTTACTTACAATATATTTTATTTCTTTTAGCATTCTTTGTAACATGAATCCAAGATCAGTGGAACCAGGCGCTGCTCCAATAAAATGATAGAAGACATTCCAACCTTTATTGCTGCCTCTAATAGCATTAAAGCAAGAAGAAAATTGTGTATACGAATACATTAATATAGACTTTCAGGGTTGAATGTATTCTGATAATAAGGTGAAATTGTATCGATGAATATCCAGTGGCTGAGAAAAATATGCAGTACACTGTAACATAAGCATGAATATAAAACACGATTGCTTAAATAAGCAACTAATGACCTAAGAATTATACGTCTCATTTTTAGCAACTAGTAAGTATATTACAATTCAATGAAATTTCGAACTATATTGTAATTTAAACGTTCGTTTAAAAACGCTCCCTATACATAAAATTCATGTTTAGTTACTCTTACCCTGGTATATCATTGTTAAGAGCTTTAGCAACAGTTGTGGCAGCACTTCTTGCCATCACTGCACTCTTGCCAGCCCCTGCAACACCAATGATAACCATCGGTAAGCCGGACGCTGGGGCCATGATATATTCTTGAATCTATTAAGATAAAATATTATAGCTGAATAGGAATATTTATTAATTCTTTTGAGAATCTATGTTAAGTATAATTAACCATTTCTCAAGGTAGGCAAAAAAAAATCGTTAATGTCAAAAATAGAAGGCAGAACAGCTACAAATAATAGCAAACTATTATCTTATCATACTGATTTACCTTTTCTAAAATGGTGTCACGGCCTAAAACTGTTGATGATCGAGTATTGAGGAAGGACTAAAATTATCAAAATCAATCAAGACGATATAGTGCTCTATTTTATTAACGTTTTACTATGTTTAATACGTTAATTCCAGTACATATATGCAAAATTATTAAAATTAACACATAATAAAATTATATTTATTAGTTGATAATTATTTTTTGGGGAATAGAAACAATTGGTAAGATTTACCTCATGGGCTTCTCGAATAGTTTCTAATGGATCCATTTTAGACTTATCCAGAGGATATTGATAACTAATTCTAGCCTTAAAAAATTCAATGACCTAATCGACAATAAATTTTACGATGTTACGAATCGTGTGTTAGCTTTCATGTTGCACGGGAGGGCTACGGTATTTTATGTACCGGTTTACGCGTATATGATAAGGTCTCAGCGTCTTCAGCTAATAACTATATTATAATTATCGCAAATCAAGATCTGCTGCTAAAATTTACTAACCGATTTTACGAAGATGGAATCGGCCTCTAATCCTTTAACACGGATAGTGTTGGTAACTTTATTAGTCCCTTCGTATTGGCAGCTGTATGCTACAACTCTTGATTCCTGTTATCAAGTAGACCAAAATTGCTAATAAATGAATTGATTCCTTATTTGTAGTTCGTAGTGAAAGATGCTGATCATTGAGATTTAAATACTGGTCAGCGAAGCGTCAGTGTAATCTATGTATTTTATAATATTTAGGAATTGTCATTGTTGTTTACAAAATGATTAATGAAACCTTAAGACCAAATTATTACTAAATTATGAAAATACATAGCTAGTTGTATCATTTTTAGAAGTCACTAACGCAAAGCTGTCTCAATATTATGTTTCAATAGCGTTATATCCTTATTTAGCACTAATTTCAATACAATTTAGTGCTACTTAATATTATACTCGTCGTAAGGTAAACTCGATAAAGTCAAGTATACATCCATCTCATAGCTTCATACTACTTTTGGCGATATTTCCTTCGGAAGATTTCTTTTAGGCAGCTTAAAATTATATTGATAAAAGCTGCTGTCAACATAATTTTAAAACTTCATTATTCTACATTCTATTGGTCTAGGTATTCTAGCATCATAACACATTTTGAGAATTAAGGGTTACTTGCCATAAATCTAGTCCTGTTAATATGAATAATAGTGGTGATTCATTTCCTTACAAATTTATAGTTTGATAGCATTATATATCCATCAGAATATTAGATATATATGCTAACTTGCTTAAGTGTAAAATTTTCGATAGTTAATAGCTTTATCAGTCAAAAGACATTCAAAGTTAACTAATTCAACCGCTAACAACAAATGAATTGATAATTGATAATTTATCAATCAGAAGATACATAAAGTTAACTAATTTAACTATCTACAACGAATATAACAATAATTGATAGTTTTATGGATCAGAATTGTATAAAGTAGACTACTACTTCAACTTTATGCAGCAAATATATCGATTATTGATTTGTAGTTTCATCAATCTGAAGATATTTAAAGTTAACTAGTTTAACTTTCCACAAAAAAAATTTATCAGTAATTTGTAGTTCTATCAATCATAACACGCGTATATAACATATATAAAATTAACTAGTTCAACTGTCTACAAATATATCGCTAATAAAATTGGCTTATCCTTGGGCAAGTTAGCTTACATCACTTGCATACCAGCAAAGGATTATCATTTTTAAGTTGTAAGTTAGTAATGTGAAGCTTAGAAATCATTAGTGCAATATCAAGACTATGCCAGAATCCAACATTCCACAAATTAATGAAGGGTAAGTACAAACACTAGAATTTCATTTCTAGACTGAAAATTAAGATATTCGTTTTATTCATTGTCTTGGAAGGCGTTAAACTATATTATATATTGCGCTCTCCATTTTGTTGATAAAATTTTTTGTCGTTATCATTCATTAACTTATTAGGGAATCGTACCCGACTGATCATCACTTAAGGTGTTCTACTATAAAAAGGCATCAGGTGAGATAAAGAAATCAATTAATGCCTAATCATTGATGCATGATCGTAAAGGCGTATGTATTTAGTTATGAGGGATCCTGTAAAGAGCAAATGAAGCCTAGGTATAACGATAGCTACTGATAAATCTCTTCATTTAAACGTTTCTATCTCACTAAGTGCTGTACTTAATTCCTTTAAACTTTGTTAATGTTTATTTATATCGTGAGTGAGAAATTCAACATGGTAACCAAATAGAAAGTAATCAACTGTGCTAGCTCTAGTCGCGCATTAAATTGGCTTAAATTATCAGACATAAGCACTCAATGATAATAGGATTATTCAGATAGAATAACAACAACAAGAAAATGATAAATTAACTTGATATTACTGACATGATTGACTATCGATGACTGCAAAGTGATCGGTTCCAGCCATTTTGATTTGATTGGCTCGATGCTGAAAGTCTATGGTATGAATCATCATGACTTTCATATAGTCTCTGCAACTTTATTGACTGATATGTTACATAGTCGATTAGGAGTTGTGATCGTATTGAATGCTGGAAATACAAAGTTTTCCTTATGTTTTAGTCATACAGTAGCACTTAGAATGTCTTATTTAAGCCTTATGATAGCAATAGCCACATAACAAAAGCGCATGCGTAATTACCCTGTTAAATGCAATCGGGTCATTAGCTCGCTGATCTGCAATTAGGGTTAGGCAAAATGAAGGAGGGGTGAACAGCAAGCCGGTACTCGGCTTCATAGATCGATAGAATATCGATAGCAAGTAGAAAAGTTGATGTTGATGGAAAGGGCTCATTTAAATAATTTACTCTATTCATTGCAAAGTACTGAGGTTACAACGGATGGAATGATGATGATAGATTGAGCATGGATATATAGGAGAAGATAAGCGAAATTTGCATGCTAAATTAAGCATTCTAAATCATGATTATGATGTTACCGGAAATCTTCCTTTAATGCAATCTTTTAATAATTTCATTTTTTCCTCTGCTTGCTCGGAAGATTCAGTAAAATCGTCTTTCAGTTCTGATGGCAAAGTCGTAATAAAATCCGGATCACGAATGAGGAATAGAGCTAAATAATTAACATCGATATGGATAGAAAGGTCAATAGGTGGACTAAAAATCCAATCAACAGCATACTTGTATTGAATTAATAGCAACGTAATTAAAAAATGAAGTTTAGAAGAAATATTTGCTGTATTCTAAGCTTTTCATTGCATGCATAACACCGACCATTTGGGTTAGCTCTACGGAAAGCACCATGGATAATTTCCATTTCGGTAATAGATGTACCAAATATCCATCCATATTCTTCAGCTAAATATTTTGGTACATCAGATTCACTTGGTATCCAGCCTGAGCGATGACTACCAATATCGAACAAAAATAATTATTGTCATTTGTTAATGCTAGAGTCTATAAATTTACAAGTACCATTATCATTATCATGTTTCTATAATATCATTTCTGCCTGCTGGACTTATATACAGCAATTTACTTATTTACTGTACGGTCATAATCACTACCATCTCTTGTCATAAATCGCATAAAAAACTAGTTATATTACTTATTTTAAAATCAGTATTCTAAAATAATATCGAACCTGGACAGGTTTAAGAAAAATGGCCACATATTATCTTCATAACATCGATCTATTTCTCCAAGACATATTCGTAGCGTTTCCTCTGACGTAGCTTCTTTAGGAACTCCCTGAGATAGAATAGAAAAATTAAGCCTGGAATTGTATTAAATTTTCAGGACGATTTATTGCAATCACTATCAAAGAATTCTTCTTCTAAGGGAATTAAGGATCAAAGTATTGTAAATTTCTTTTTAACATAAGATTGCATATTGAATAGGACTCAAATGCAGCTTTTATTTTTACGATCTTATTCTCAAAATATCTCTATATAAAAGCAATAATTTAATCTTACAATCAAATTATAAATAATCTTCAGATTAACCATATCTAAACACAAATTTATAAAATATGGTGCAGCCTCATGTACTAATGAGACTTTCTAAAGTTATTTCTATATAGTATAGACAGTCTTAAAGGCTATTAAAATCAAACGGATCTAATTCATAAGCAGACTAACCCATCGTAAGTCACATTCAATTAAATGTAATTTTAATTTTTCACACCATAGCCTGAGTTCCGGAAAGACCTATAAGTAATCAATCAATACTATTAACACTTGGCCGAGTTACTTTAATAACATTAGCATACGCAAAGTAGAAAGTTATACCATCAAATCAATAGCTACTTTAATGCCCATTACCTGTTTAACAAGTACTTCTCGTTCAGCATGAAAATCTTTAAATGTCGAGGATACAAATAATCGTATAGTTTTCCATCCTCGTCTTTTTGTAGATGGTACAACTGCACTGGTTTCGGGCGTTGAAGTAGCTCTAACGCAATCCCAACACTCCATTGCATTAGCTGGTTTTATTTCGCAAACTTCATTCAAAGATAATTCTGGTTTAGGTGGTAACTCTGACCATAATATGGTAAAAGTGTCAATTGGACCAGAACGCTTAGTAACTTTAAATTCTCTTTTAGTTGTCGGCGCATTATCAATGTTACTAGTAATGCTATTGCTATTATCGTTGGAAGTAGCATTGCAAGGAGCAGCATTTGGCGGTTCAGGTGGATCCGTTTGAGCAACCACTTGTAAATTTTTACTAGATGCGCAGCCCATATTTGCGTTAGTTTATAATTAAGCTTTTCTAGGAAATGGGAAGCCTTTCTATTGAGTAGTAGGCGTAGAAATATTGTTTCATTAATGCTTATATTTAGTAAATTTACAAACAATTTAGATTCTATTCTAAATTATTTAAGAAAATCTTAAACGATATGAAACTGCTGTATGCTATGCCATTATTATAACAGTTAAAATGAAGATTAAATCATTTCTCTGGCTTTTTACTTTCGATTATAAAATTTAAAGTTAGATTTTGCTTTCTAAATTTTTTAAATTTAAACCACCAGAATTTTAATACCAATTTATAGTTGAAAATCTACTAATTTACGAATGATTGGGTCAAGCAAAATAGATCTTCTCTATTTTGAGCAAACTCATCTACAAGTTCTTTCTGTAATTTAAAATCAATCTAAATGATTCGTTACAATGAGCTCTGTAAGATTATAAATACAGTTGTTTTCATTTCTACGATAGGACCGGTAGCTATTTTATACTATGTTTTCCACTTAAAACGTTATCTGTAAGAATTACTTTTATTCTTGATTGTAATATTCAATAATGATGTGATATCATCGATGATATATGTGAA